TTGATTTTGCTTAATTAATTAATCAAATTAAACATCTCATGAGATCTTCATTTGAGAATCGGAAGAATCAAAATCACCCCATGAATTTGATGAATTCTCATTGGCTAGTGTACAGTTTATCACAAAACCTTAAGTTCAAGAGATTCATGTTGCTTATAAAATTAATCAATTCAGCCATGTAAGCATGATTAATTAGATCTAAGGGTGAAAGTATAGATACTCTCAATAAAAAAAGTTAATGAATGATCAATACTCTTTTTTAAGTTGTTTTGATTTGATAATTTCATAGTGGTAATGTGACATCATTATTTATAATATATATGGGTCCAGACAAGGTTCAAAGTATTGATACAATATGCTTTGTATCGGGCATATCATATCATATCTTTTGGTCTCGATACACTTATTTATAGGTGTTTTGGGACCCCATTTATTTCAAGAAAAAAACACTTAAAAATCATCTCCAAAAATCAAGTTTTGAAAATACAAACTCAATAAAAGCATCGAGCGGTGAGTTTTTAATACTGATACGCCCCTGCCAATACACGGGGGCGTATCGATACTTTGAACCATGGGTCTGGTACCATGTCTTTCTGGTATCATAGATTTTCTCATCTTTATATTATATGATATAATTAAGGTTCAAAGTATAGATATGTATCATTGCATATCATATGATAATATGTATCAATTTGATAGGGTCATCAATATACCCATAAAGAAGAATTGGGTTGTTTTAATTGTTTAATATATTAGGAAAATCTATGATACTAGAAAGACATAATATCAAAAGAGCTTTGACCAATCAAAGCATCTCTTTGAATTATGATGAACACCACCTGATTGGTCACTTCTTTTATGGTTACTGTTGATTGGATGTAAGTTTTCCCAATATCATGTCTTTCTGGTACCATGGTTGAGCCCTATAAAGATAGAAGGATCAAAAATTAGCATCTCAAATATTCTTTCTTTTATGTTTTGTTCATTACCTCTTAAGGCAAGGTTCATAGCTGTCCCCTTGAGCAAGTTTTTAATACCTATGATTCTATCTTAGGGGTCATTTCTTTGGTCTAATGAGAAAATCGTGGATCGACAAAAATGAAAATGTTAGTTCGAGTTAGAGAGAAGATATATTATTATTATTATTATTATTATTATTATTATTATTATTATTATTATTATTATTATTATTATTNATTATTATTATTATTATTATTATTATTATTATTATTATTATTATTATTATTATTATTATTATTATTATTATTATTATTATTGTTGTTGTTGTTGTTGTTGTTGTTGTTGTTATTAAAAATTTCAATTGGTGGATCCCTATATGATTGGGACGAATCGACGAATGCTCTATACAGAACTCTACGACACCTATTCATAGGAGACTATGGTCATACCTTATATTGAGAATATTCCCATGAATGACAACATACAAGCACAAGAGATCTTCCTAATGTGTGGTTGTGATGTCTTGTGGGTAGGCATAGACGTTAGCAAATCTAAGTGAAGACCAACATTGGTAATGGCCGACTTTTTTAAGTTTTTCATTTTGTTATCTCTTTTCTGTTTTTTTTTTTTTTCCAGTTATGGATAAGGTCTCTATAACTCTGGTTCAACCTATTAGGAGTTTTGTTTATCCAAGCAACAAACCTCTTATATTACAAAAGCTTAAGCCTCATACTAAAGTTAAGGCCAAGTCTTTTAAAACCATGGTAAGAGGTAATACCTCTATCTCAGTTGTGTAACAGCTAATCCAACAGACTAGTGATCTAAATGCCTTTAGGGATGGCAAATGGATGGGTTCAACGAGGGTTTTGTAAATTATAGACCCCCCCTGTCTTCCTAAACCTTTCAATCCATTCCTGCCCCAAAATCTATAGTGGAATGGATTTTTAGAATCCAAACCCTCCCCACACACAAAAATGCAAAACCCTACCCTTGCATTCAAGGGTAGGAGTATGACAGGTTGGGTTTAAAACCTACATCTAATTTCCTATTATTTCTTATCATATATAAACAATAAATAAATAAAATAGCACAAATAAGCAACAAAGAATTCAATTATTTGATTAAGACATGCACATAAACTATCAATTATCCTTCATGTAAAATTCAAAATATTATTAAATTCAAGACCTAGTATATAAAATTCATATTCTTCTGGTCTTCCCAACAATATGAGGGTCAGGTTTAGCATAATACCTTACCTTACCCATAGCCATATGGGTTGTAGAATCCCAAAACACGTCCCTGCCCCAAAACCCATTCTTCAAGCCATGGTTTTCAAAACAGGACCAGACCAAACGGTTGAACCGGAAAAATCGGGAACTAGTTAGAAGACTGGTTCTGTTTTTCCCCAAAATCGGATATTTATAAAAAAACGTTGATTTGGTCAGCATACCACTGACCCAGGCGGTTGAACCATTCAAACGGTTTTGACCATTTTTTAAATTTTTTATTTTTTTGTTAGAATGGGCCAACCGTTCGGTTCAAATAGTCAGACCGTTCGACCCAGAAATCGGATCCCTAACCGGTTCATTCTCTGGATCGGTTTTAAAAACCTTGCTTCAAGCAAATACCCACTGGATAGGGTAGAAATTGCCATCCCTACCTATGATTCGATTTTGCCTCCACCTATATTTGTCAAAATGGCTATATAATTATATATTACATGTATGATGTATTTGCAGTACCATGAAAAATCCTACATATGGCGTTTAAAGCAAGAGATATCTACAATGAGAAAGCTAGTATCCTACCGTTCAAATCAAATGGTTGGCCCATTCTAACAAAAAAAAATTAAAAAACGATAAAAACCATTAAACGGTTTAATAGGTTCAACTGCCTGAGTCAACGGTTTGTTGATCAAATCAACATTTTTTAGCAAAAAACTGATTTTGGTAAAAAAAAAGGAACCGATCACTAGTCCAACTTGTCCGGTCTGGTCCGATTTTGAAAACCATGGTTATAAATTATAACAGCAACGTCATTGGAAATCGACAGTTTCATCGGTAAAGAATCATATTAAAGGGCGCCCAAAGAAACACCAAAAAATGGTGAGTCGTACTATTACTATTGAGACTTTGTGTTCTCCTCTCCTGCTTACAGGTCGTACCATTACTTTTACAGAATGGGAATTGTTCTGATTCTCTCCCAAATATCGGGGCGTAGTTAATTTTTCTTTATCCCAATTCCCAACAGTCACCATCTTCTTTTATGAAGTCACTCACTCTTTGATCTTGACTATAATCAGTTGAGTTTACTTGCATATAAAATAGGGCATTCTCCCACCCCATCTGTCTTCCCAGAATCGTATTGATCTACCTTCTTATATTTGACACTGAGACAGTTGTTAGTTGTTTTGAATCTTAAAGTGTAAGTTATACTTTCAATAACCCATAACAATTTCTATTTGCTTAGTAATTTCCTTATAATATTATTTAGATATTCAAAATATATTGAGAAAATTAGCAAATTATCCTCGAAATATCCCCACATCTGCATGACAAAACGTCCATTCATATCAAAATTACAGTCCATAGTTCAAGCATAAGCAATTCCCATTTTGACGGTCATAATGACCATTTAGTGATTTTAGATGAAAAACAAAATTACCCCAACCCTTACATGTTACATCAAGGTATAGGGTGTGCATAAGAGTCACAAAGTTTTTTATCAATGTTTTTGAACCATCGTTGACCCAGACGGTCAGACCTTTCAACCTGGAAACCGTCCAAGCAACTAGTTCCGTTTCACCCCTAACCTGTTCCTGGGTCAAAAAAATTTGACTTTGTCAGAAAACCGTTGACTCATTTGACCCGGACAGCAGTTATGACCCAGAAACTCTCTTCTTCATCAGAAAACATATAAATTCAGATCTGAGTTCATGTCTCAGATCTGAGGAAGAAGAAGATCTAAGAACTCGTCTCAGTTATCTCAGATCTGAGGAAGGAGAGAAGAAGAAGAAGAAGAAGATGAAGAAGAAGAAGATATGAGAACTCAGATCTCAGATCTGTGTATGTTGCCACCGCTTCGCCATCGCCATTGCCATTACCGTCACAGGTGAGTGTCGAACCACCCTCCTCCTCTTCCTTCTTCCCTCCTTCCCTCCTTACCTCCTTTTCCTTTCTCTTTTCTTTTTTCCTTTCTCCTTTCTTTCTTTCTTTTTGTTTTTTCTTTCTCAGCCGACAACATCTCCTCTCCTTTCTCAAATTTCAGAACTCATAAAATAGTTGCCCTAATATATAAACCATTCGACCACTGACCCGGAAACCCGTAGCTAGAATAATTCCATTTCCGGGTCAATTTTTAAAACCTTGTTTTTTATACAACAAAATTTGAGAGCAACCTCAGTCTAAAGTAGACCTGTTCTCAATACAAATAAATAAAACATAAATTTGTGCCCGCTTATGACAGTTTTTAATTTACCCGGCCAGAAAGAAGGATTATCCATCAATCAGCATGCCAATTGGTACTAAATTGAATGGTCACCTGTTGGAGTCAATTGGACTAGATTTGTTCCAATCCGATCCAGTCCAATGCGAGTCCATTTATAAATTGACCAAGTCCAATCCAATCCGATGAATGTTTTGGACCAATTTAAACCGGTCCAATTCAATGATTTAGATTGGTTTCAACCCAAACCCGGTCCATTGACACATATTCTTATCTTATATCAATGGACCAGATATTGGCTTGCTCCAACCCAACCCAATATAAATTTGTTACGGACAGACCAGGTTCAATCCAATCTAATAAATATTTTGGACCGGATTGGTCCAATCCAATATGTCTTGTTGGTCCATCCAAATCGATTTTGGACTGGACGGGGTCCAATCCAAAATCGGTCCATTGACATTCTTACCTGTTGGGCTATTGCAAATGAAAAGAACTGGCATTTTAAACTTGTAATGCAACTGTAATTTTGTAAAATTAAGCTCACTGGCCCCATAGCAGAGAGAGGCTTGCATGTATAGTATAGACCGACAAGTTAAAATAATCAATTTTTCTTTTATCTTGATGGGCAACCACAAGTCACGGAAGGCAAATAAATAGGCACAACAAAATATGCAGAGGAAAGGTTTATAATCTCATCTAGTGAGGTTAGGATTTTTCTCTGGAGATGGGGATCTTTCTTTTCGTTTACCTGTAATGGCCGTCATTTTGTTATCAGAAAGCTGGAATTGTGTTGGATCACTTTGTAAACCATTCACAGTTATAATATTTTTTAATTCACACAACTTGAAATTCTGCTGGTCGTTAGAGTCTTGGGTCTGATAAATTTTAGGAACCACCGAGTTTGTCAATCCTCCATCAGAGCATTCACAAGATCTAAACCTAGTGATGCAAAGCCAAGTCCTTGATGATTCATCGCTGCATTCGCCTTTTTCACCTTCAATAGGCACATGCCATGATCCTTCTTCAGATTCCTGAAAGCACAGGACAGGGATAAAGATTATTAAAAAAATCTAGAAGATTATTACATACAAGTGATTGTAATGAAGCTATCTCAAACATAAACTTAATAAGTAAATGTGACAATAAGAAAGGTTAACCGACAGGCTTCGTTTTAATCAATCAAAAGAATTAAAAAACATAAGGTCCTAGTGTGTGATCAAACCCAAGGACAGCATCATACTTTCACCAGCAAGCATTACTCACAGAAAGGGAAAAGTACAACCAGTGACAAAACTAAGCCTCACAGCCGTGCAATGACCAATAGAAATAGAATTACATATGGACCCTGCCTATAACTTATTATAATTTAATCCAATGCTCTTATGCCAAAGGAAAAACTAACTGATTACATTAAATTAATGGATATGATCTAGAGTTCCTTGTGTAGTGTAGACATAAGAAATTTGATCCCAAACTCTGGTGGAAGACAAGACATGTTTAAGGCATTCCTATAACAAGCTTGCATATCTTACAGTTTGAAATGCTCATGCTTGATGAGTGATGACATCGTCAAAATGAATACCTTGGTATTCCCAAAAAATCTCATTTTCCTTGTAGTTTAGAAAAGACAGGATTGAATGATAGCACCAGAAAAGGCAATTCCTCACAAAGGCACAAGTCCAAAGCAAGTAAATAATATGTATTTTCAGTACAGATCCCCTTTGTTGTAATAAACCAATAACCATTGCCAAAATGTTTAAAAGAAATGTTTACTTGGTTCTCATTACAAAGGATAACACCTTGGAGCCTAAGATAGAGGGCATGAATTGAAGTGACTAACTGCTACTATGAAAAGAAAGCCCCTTTCATATGGAACAGGGAAAGATGATTAGACTTAAATATCATCAGTATGGTGGTATCATTTAACCATGTCTGAGTTGAAATCAATCTAGTCAAAATGTCAAATTGCATCTAGAACCAGGTCGCGTAGATTCTAATTTAGAGCCAGAAGTGAGTCTTGGATCCCATTGTATCCTTCATAATTGAGGACAATATGCAACAGTAGATAATGGAGGGGTAAATGCAAGCCTAGAAAAAATTAGGATTTAGTAAAGAATTAAGTTTAGGAGATTTATCCAATGAACAATCTCAATTGAGGAAGATTGTTTGAACATGTTGCCCAAGATATGTGCTTACCACCACAGGAAAATTTTATAGGATAAGACTAGAAGATTATTGGGCTTGGACAAACAAGAAACAACATATCTTAGGGCCACAGTCAATCACTGAGCTCACAATAATTGGGGTGGTACATTGGGTGATTTACCTGCAAGAAATTCAAGGGTATCACCATGAAATCCATCATCTGGGACAGGCAAGTAGTGGCTAGTTTTTCCCATGTCAACCATCACCCACAACAGAAAATGGGAACTGCGAGAATCAGGAAGATTAAACCTCAATTTCGATAACGGTCCTTGAGCAATCTGAGACCCATGGGTGAAGGATTAGGAGGAGACTTTAGAGACAACACTGGAACTTCAATAAAAACTTTACTTTTGTGACCTTTAGAGAAAGAAATTCTCTAAGGGCATAGATCTCAACAGATTTTTGAGGAAAAGAATTATGCATTCAATGAAGTAATCAGAAGGGTGTTAAGGTCTATTCATTCTAGGATAGGGTGTTGGATTCTTTTGCAAATATCTCACAGCAATTTTCTTTTTGACAACAATTTTTTGTTTTTATGATTTGCTCAGGTTAGTTTAGTTATCCCTGGCAGTTTTTAGTATAGTGCCTCACTATACATGCTAAACTTGTAATGTTTACAGCAGTGAATTGTATACAATACCATGCCATTCTCCTAAAAAAAAAGGATTCTTTATTTGCACATGGGCTAAGAGTTGCATTTGTATTGCATCTAGTTGGTAAAGAAAACAGTTTTAGAAGATCTTACAAATTGTGATCAGATAGATCAGCATTAAATTGACTAGTCATTTGAGGGCCAGACTGACTGCACCATTAATAGCCAATCAATATCCATTGATGCAAACACCTAAACAACTAGGTCGACTAATCAGTTAACGGCTAGTCAACTTGGTAAACCACAAAGTCATTTTAAAGCCTATTTGTTAGTTTGTATTTTTATTATTTAAAAGAAGAAAGAATACGATGGTATTTTGTTATACTCGTATTGTTGCTTTAAATATTTGTGATAGATCATAATTGGATGATGGTATAGAAAAAGAAAACATAAAATAAGGCAGTGGAGAAGTTCCTTTAAGTTTTCGTCCAATCAGTAGTGTGTTGGTACAGAATTGCCACAAAGGGCACATTGAACAATCAAAGTTGCTCTCTTTCTTTTTTTCTTTTTTTTTTTTTTTTGATCAATAACATCAAATATTTTTGAGCAGAAAATGGTAAGTATAGATGGTTCAAAAACAGTTTAAGATTCATGAGAGATAACTCTTATCTCTCCAGTCTCCCCCAAGAAACCCCAATTCCTTTACAATTGTGCCCAAAACAACGAGTCTCTCTCCACCCCTTGGTTAGCTAATGTATCAGCTATAGCATTTGCACTCCACTTAACCCACCCTATCCTTACTTCCATATCTCTAGCTAGCCACCTGAATTTCTTCCTATCATTACTATACATCCACATTTTCATTCCCTCATCCTGTAGCCAGTTGATCACCAGTTTTGAGTCTCCGTCAACACTTAATTTGCTGATGCAAATTGTTTTCGCCTTTTGTATGCCTTCAATTACAGCCATGACTTCTGCTCTCAATGAATCTCCTTCCGCAGCCGGCCCAGAATATAGTGCAATAATTTTTCCCTCCTCGTCTCTAAATACACCTCCAATGCCAGAAGGTCCTGGATTTCCTAAGCTACCATCATCAAAATTTAGTTTAATAAATCCTCTATCTGGTGGGCTCCAGTGATGAGCTGTGACAGCCTTATGAGCAGATGAATCTGCCACTGCCCTCCAGTTCCTCAGTAAATCATTTGCTGAAACACAAGAGAAGTCTTTCAGGGACTTCAACCAATGCACCACTTTTATTTTAACAGCTTCAAGTACTTCTTTGCTTCTTGCTTTGTCCATGAAAATTCTTGAGTTCCACTCCTCCCAAATCGTCCAAAGGGTAGCAGCACTTAAGCATCTCCACATAATTCTTCCCTTCTTTTTTGGCCAAGAGAAAGTAGTTGCATCAAACATGCCTTGTACATTCACAGGAGGATTCCACCTGCACCCAAACAAAGAGAAGCACCATTCCCAAACAGTAGTAAAGGAACATGAAACAAACAAGTGATATAAACTCTCCCATCAGCCTTACATAACACACACCAGTGAGGGTATAAATACCAACTAGGCTACTTTCTTTGAAGTAGATCAAGGGTGTTAATATTTCCATGTACAACTTCCCAACAAAAAGCAGCAATCCTTGGTGGGATAGGTTTGCATCACACCTCTTTCACAGGAAAAGATGGCAAAATACTGGGAGAGGACTGTAACAAAGTTTTAGGAAGTACAAGAAAAAGAGCAAGAGGTAGTACAGGTCCAAATTTGGCTATCAGGTAAAGATGGCACAAGGAACACTCCCTCCAACAATTGCAACAGGTTAATTACACTCTGGAGCTCTGAATTCCTGATACCCCTTCAGGGACCCAAATACCAATCAACCCCATTGTTTAAAGATGATTGAACAAAGAACTTGCCTATTGGCTCATTTTTAAAGCTTGAAAGGGCATAAAGCGAAGGAAATTGATCCTTTAGGGGGGGGCTACCTACCCAAACATGTTCCCAAAATTTTATACCATTACCACTTGTGAGAATGGCAATTGGTCGATCAAGTACCTAGGGTTAGGGGTGGCCAATAACCAAGCTTTTCACGAGCTACTCGAGCTCAGCTCAAGAAAAGCTCGATTCGGCTTGGTCTAAATCAAGCTTTGAACCGAGCTCGAGCCCAATAAAGCTTGGCTCGCAAGCCTAATCGAGCTTTTACATACATACATGTATGTGTGTGTGTGTGTGTCTATCAATCTATCTATAATTTTTTATATGTATATTTCTTATTTTTATAAAAAGTTTGGCTTACAGTTGAGCTCAAGCCAAGACAAGTTCAAACTTACAAGCTTTTGACTTGAGCTGAATTCAAGCTCAAGCATGATAGTTTATTGGTGAGTTGAGCTCAAGCTCGAGCCAGATAGTAGGCTCGACTCAGCTTGAATCCACCCCTACCTAGGGTTACCCCTTGGTGACAACCCCAAATCTTTGAATATTTGGAATCCAGTGGTGGAAAGGTTTGATAAGAGGTTAGTTGGGTGGAATAGGAACTATATTTCGTTAGGTGGGAGGATAACACTAATCAAATCTACCTGGCTAACCTTCCTACCTATTTTATGTCAGTTTTTAGGATGTCTCAAGCTGTTCTGAGAAAGCCTGAAAAGATCATTAGAGACTTTTTGTGGGAACCCGGGGAAGGTAAGAAAGATCACTTGATTAGGTGGGAAAAGGTGTCATACTTGAAGGTAGAAAGACGGTTGGAGATTGGAAATATTAGTGAAAAATTGGGCATTATTGAGTAGGCTTTGGAGGTTCCCAAGGGAGAGTGATAGACTTTGGCACAAAGTGGTAGCAAGTATTCATGGGCTATCAAACAATGGTTGGGATGCTGGTTGTCTTCATAAAGCTACCCTAGCTACTCCTTGGAAAGCCATCCATGATCGTCTTCCTATTTTCCTCTGCCACATCAGGTATGACTAGGTCTCAGGTCAAAAGATTAGGTTTTGGGAAGACATTTGGATCCTGGAAACCCCTTTTTTTTATCAATAACACCATCTTCATTAAATTAAAAGAAGAGAGGGAATAAGGATACAAAGGGGGAGATAAAATAACTTAGCCCCCCAAAAACAGAAAACAAAGGGAATGCAAAGAAAAGGATTAAAAACTAGCCCAAAAAACAGACTCCCTATTCACTCCTTGCTTGGCCAACCCATCCGCAAATGAGTTGACACTCCTCTTCACCCAACTGTACTGAATCTCAATGTCCCTACCAGCCATAAGAACTGTTTTTTTTCATTGTTAAAGTTCCACAAACCACTGTCCTCTGTCTTCAACCAACTAACCACCACCTTCGAATCACCTTCCAGAATCAAGCGACTGATATTTAATTCCTTTGCTCTTCGAATTCCTTCAAGCGTTGCAAGGATCTCAGCCCTAAGAAAGAGAATCACCTTCTCCAATAGGGCCAGAGAATAAAGCAATAACAATCCCTTCCTCATTCCTAAAGACTCCTCCAATCCCAGAGCGTCCTGGATTCCTTACACTGCTACCATCAAAATTCAGCTTTATAAAGCCCGAGGGGGGAGGGAACCAAAGCGGACAAAGAGTCCTCTTGCATCTAGCAATGGAAGCAATCTCTTTCCAGTTTCTTAGCAAGTCATCCATAGGAAAATCTGAAAACAAATCCAAAGATTTTAGCCAGTGGACAGCTCTTAAAAGGATTCGATCTAACAATTCTTCCAACGTTCTTTCCTTGTCAGAAAAAATGCATGAGTTTCTTTCTTCCCACAAAGACCAGCATACTCGCTTCTTAGGCCAACTGAAAAAAGGAGAAAACAAACCTTGGACAGTCTCCAAAGGATACCAAGAGCACCCAAAACGGGAGAAAACCCACTCCCAAACAGTTTTAGTAGCCTTACAAGAGACCATGAAGTGGTATCCAGATTCCCCATCAGCTTTACAAAGAGCACATCTATTAGGAAGTAGACAATAGTTGGGTCTCTTTCTCTGAAGTAATTCTAAAGTGTTGATTCTTTCTAGGAAAATTTCCCAACAAAAAAACCCAACCCAAGGAGGAATAGGCCTGCTCCAAATTTCCTTAACCAAAAAGGACAACCCCAAGGGGGTAGGAGGCTGAGTTAAGGTTTCAAAGAATGAAGCACAAGAAAAGGTACCAGAGCTAGAAAGGGTCCAAAATCTGGTGTCTTCCTTAGCAGGGTTTAGGAAGACACCCTCAAGAGAGGCTAGCAGAGCTACCAAGCTATCCAAGTCTGTATCCCTAATTGCCCTACGCAGGCCAAGGTTCCATCCAAAGCCAGAAATGGAGGCTGAAGGGACCAAGAAAGAAGATATGGGTTCATTTTTCAAGTCTGAAAGAGCATACAATGAAGGAAACTGGTCTTTCAGAGGAGAATCCCCGACCCAAAGTTGTTCCTAGAATTTTATTCGGTTACCAGAATTTAGACCATACCTGATCCAAGGGGAGAAAACTGGAAGCAGATTGTGAATGGATTTCCAAGGAGAAGCAGCTAAAGCCCTTGCCAAGATTCCAGGATCCCAGCCATTGTCTTCCAGCCCGCGAATGCTAGCCACAATCTTAGTCACAATTTATCCCTTTCCAATGAAAACCTCCACAACCACTTCCCTAGTAGAGCCATATTCCTTTTCTTGAAATTACCAATCCCAAGACCTCCTAGTTTTTTACACCTAGAGACCACCTCCCAACTCACCCTATCATCTCTCTTCTCCTCTCCAGGCTCCCAGAGAAAGTTCCTTATTAACTTTTCCAAAAGATTTGAAACCTTTGAGGGGATCTTAAACACTGACAAATAGTAAACAGGTAGGTTAGCTAGGGTAGACCTAATGAGAGAGACTCTCCCACCTAAAGAAAGATAATTTCTCTTCTAGATCGCTAGCCTCTTCTCAAACCTCTCCAGTACCGGAGCCCAAAAAATAACACTCTTAAGATTATCTCCTAAAGGGAGGCCCAAATATGTCAGGGGCCAGTTTGTAATTGCACAACCTAGCTCACCTGCAAATTCCCTTAGGTCTCTTTCGTTCACATTCACTCCAGCCACACAACTCTTATCAAAGTTTACCTTAAGGTTAGATACCTGCTCAAAGAGTTGTATTGTCAACTTTAGATTCCGAATCCAATTGAAGTTTCCTCCTTCACAGAAAATGATAGTATCATCTACAAACTGTAGAAGTGTTAAGGGAACCTCCTCCCTTCCTACTCTCCACCCTCTTATCAAATTCCTCGAGTCTACTCTATGGATCAATCTCCCAAGCACATCAACAATCAGGGTGAAAAGAAAAGGGGAAAGAGGATCTCCTTGTCTTAGACCTCTCAACACAGGAAAGAAGTC